GAAGATCTTTGTATTGCCTAATCTAGCCCCGTTTGATGGATAACACATTTTCAAGTAAAAGGAGCCATGTGTGTGTTTTCATTTGTTACTTATCCCTAATTCTGCTTACCATAACAGATATTTTCCCCCTATGTTATTTTTTTCCCAGATCCCCCAAAGACATTCAGGCTTTCAAGGAAACTTCAGAAGTCTTTTGTCCTCTACAGCAAATTATTCACCATCATGCATCGCCTACTGATTCTCATAGCCTGGTCTCCCCAGCCTGGTGGCTATGCTGAAGCTGCTGACCACTCCTCCAGGCGGGAAGTGGGCATGCAGCCCTATGAATCTGTGAATCTTACTGAAACTGAGGCAATTTGCATTTGTGGCTGGAGACAGAGGACATACAATAACACACAGTGATAAATTGCTCCCACTGGAGTTGCTGGTTGAGTTTGGGTGGCTTGAGGGAAATGCCTGCTCTACCCCCTAAGTGAGCCATGCAGTTCACTCTCCAACATGGGCCTCTTCCCAAAGTGTATAATAGGTTTACTCTTGCAGCCTTCTAAAGCCTTGCTGAAGGATACCAAAAGGAAGAGCCAAAGCATTCAGTGTAGATATTTCAGGATATCATGCCTGCTATTTCTGTTAGGCCATGGCCAGATCTAGAAATTGAAAAGGGGTGTGCAACCCACACTGCCTTTCGCTGATGAGGTGGGGGAAAACAGTCTTTTAAAAGGGGGAGGTCTGAGGTCTTGAAACCAAGCCTAAGCCTCCCCGGGGTATCCCACAGGAGGGGAAGAAATGGGTAAGGGAGCAGGGAGCGGCCCCTTCTCTTCCCGTGTTGGGAGGCTGGGGAGGCCCCATGCATCTGAGACCTTGTGTGCTCCTGTTACCCCTTTGCTTTCATGCAGACAATGTGAGCATCTACACCCTGGGCAGAGTAAGGAATGGGTGGGGACAGCTTGGGCTCTCCATGCTCCAGCTGCCGCTACTGTGGCCCAGATGCAGGTGCGCTGCTTCTGCAATAGGTATGGCCAGTACCAAGCTGGAGAGAGCCCGAGGGACCCACCCCAGATGCTGCCCTCCCTGCCACCCTGATAAGAAGACTCCTTCCTCCACCTGCCGCAGGAATCACCCCTGGACCTGCCCTTGTAACTGGCTGAATACTTTTTAAACTGGTGAATTCAGTCACTGTGGTATTCACTGACACAGTGGGGTGCAGGTTATAGTCCGAATGCGCACATGTGTCTAAGCACTTGCCACATTAAGCAGCTCAATAGTCAGCTTTGACAGAGAAAAGTCTTACCCTTCCACAGAAATGGTCCGTTGTAAGCTCATTGTGGGTGGACGCGTTGCAGTGCTGTGCTGGGAATGACTGTATGACCAAGGAAGAATAAAGAGAAGCATTTGTTAAAGATGCAGGGCTCTCTGCTTACGCACTCTCTTCTTTAATGTAACTGGTACCTGAACTAAGACCTAGTGGATGATAACAGAAATAATGACCAATTTACTTAAATTACTCTGAGGCATTCCTATAACTATCATATATTCTGCCCCTTGCGATATCTCTCTCTCTCCAGATAATAAGGGGAAAAACCCAACAACCTTGTCTTCCGTTAAATAAGAGGTTTTACTCCTCATTAAGAATAGAGTACTAATAATTGAATCCTCCCAAGTCATCTTTTTTAAAACATATGAAAAGCAACAGATTTTATCTTTTTAGGGACTTAAAAGCAACTTACACTTATATTTTTCTTACACGCAATATTTGATACTGGTAACTAAAATAGTAAAATCATGCTAAATTCTTATTGTTTGCCAGGCTGAGTTTTCAGCAAGACAGCAGGTTAGACATTTTTAACTGCACCGTGTAAAACACTTTGAATTCTACATATATATAACTTTCAACTATGCAAACCACTTCCAATGGGTTTTAGATAATGGGAGAAGTTGATTATTACAGACAATTTGACTTATGGAAAATTAATGATCATCCAGAATGAAAAAAAAAATTTTCTGTGGACAAAATGAGATCATTCAGAAACCGCATTATCTTTTGGAAAACCATTTGGACTCACAAGCTCTAATAATTTTTCTTATACCAAGTCACAACTGGTTGCAGAACCTGAAGACATGTTGATGTACAGGCACACCCATGTCCCTAATTGTATTCATTAGTGTATGTTTGCTTCATACTGTAGGATAAAAATTTACTGTATGTTTTGCCCCAATTCTACCTTTGCATGCGTATAACTAACAACTTGACTGACTTCATTGGGAAAACTGCTAAAGGCTGTTGGGATTACCATGATTTGGACGCTTTATGCCAAGAGGTTTAACAAAAGGTGGTAAAAATATCATAGAGATGCACTGTGCCTAGTTTAAGTGATTACACCATACTCTACAAAATTTGGTTCTACTGCACATTGTAAGAAAGGAAAAGCTTTAATACTCTATCTTTGATCCATTAAGTAATAAATTGTGCCTTTTGCTATGAAGCTTTACAGTTATCAAACAATACTACTACTCTGTTCAGATAAAATCAAAAGGTCAAAGATCTGCTCAGACTAGATGGCAGACGCCCAGAGGGGTAGCACGCTTAATGTACACCAGTTTCTGCAGCCAACAGCAAATAAGGGAGGGATGCAGCTGCCTTTGAGTCCCACACCCAAATACTTCATTCACACCTGAATCAATGGGGGTAGACTTTGGAGAAAATCTAGAGCAAGTGTGTCAAACTCATCCCATGCCCTGAGCCTGGGGCACAAAATGCCTATGGGTGCAGTGGGACCATTGATGGTTGTGACTGTTCAATGGAGGGGCCAGCAGTGGGGCAACTGTGGTGCTGGCAGCGATGGTGGTGATGAGGCAAATGAGAGCAGGGTGAGTGGGACTATATCAACACAACCTTTTCTCATCCTCCTGCCCCAGAACACCATTTCCATTGGGGCCCAGAGGCTCCATCCTTGCTAGCCACATCCCCAAATTCCAGTAGCCTGGATCTGGCATGTTCGTCACATGCTTGGATACACCTGGCCTACAACAAGGTCCAATCTCATGCCTCTTTAACAACTCTGCTCTTGTTCTCCTGGTGCAGATGAAATACTACATGCTATTTTCCTTAGGAACCAAGAGCTTGAGCTTAGCACACGCCATACATATATTTTGTTGGTCATTTCATTCTGCAGCATAACGGATATTGGGTGTCTGACAGAAGAGAACATTTAACGAACAATGCAATTTCTCTAAATGTTTAGCCCATGGAATTATGACACTTGGTGCTATATCACAGGGCAAGTACTAGACCTGCGACCCACTTTTATTTCCAATAGCTATTGCTGCACTCTAGCTCCAGTTTCAGTGGATTTTATGAAAAGGTAAATGGAAATGTGGTGCATGTTGTTCTTGTGCGTGTTGTAACAGGCTTGTCAAAAAAGATGCTCCTGTTCACAAGCTGAGCTCTAGCAATTCCTTCCCCACCATACTGCGTAATGCAACTTGTGAAGGAGCATCATGACTTTCCTTTGGGATTACTGTACCGAAAGAATGACTGATGAATGTGGCAAAATAGCATTTTGCTGACTCTTCCTTAAATTTCACAATGAGTTTGCTTCTCTCAAATAACTGAATAAATCTTGAACCAGTGATGAGGGAGAATGATTTGTTAAGCCCATCTGTTTTGGGACAGCTGTATTCTGTTCAGAACCAGACTGTCTCTTATCCTGTACCCCCATATGGGGGAAGAAGAGCACATAAAGTTCCCCCTCTCTCCCTCACATTGGCTCCCCATACTGTGATCAGCTGTGCTGGGGGCAGGAAGAAAACAGTCTCCACAAGCCTACATCCCCCTACACAGGTAGGGAGGAAGGGGTGGAACCTTGTCTCTTGCTCGAATCCTCACTTTTTCATGATTTCAGCTCTTTGATTTGCACTGAGGGTTGCCCCTTTCAGTTTCTATGTAGTAGACCAGCTGCAGAGTCTTGAACCAGGTCCATATACCTCAGAGAAGTGGAAGGAGAAGGAAATGCTTTGTAAAGATTGAATCACAATCTGCTTTATGACCTTTTCCTGTGCAGTATAACAAAGTATGTCCCAGTCCATGAAGTATGTACAAGAACCTACACCAGTGCTATATTTTATCTGGGATGAAACCACTGTCACCAACATGAGGAAAGGGCTCCCAAAGCCCATGACTAGAATCGTGGCCCAGTGGCAATAAAAGCAGCTACACAAGGCTCTGACCACATACTCTTCAAATACTTGTGGATGACAAAGGAAAATCAAGCACTTAACCAAATTAGCAAACCCTATAAACGTACACTAATTTTGAAAAAAATATTAAATTTGCATGCACAATCTGTGTGAAAATACAAGGCCTTTTTCCACTGGTGAATAAAAGTGTATATCCCAACATTATAAAAGTCCTTTTTCTTGTTCAGCAGTAGAGAAAGGCCACTGATGGACAAGGAGATTATGTTGGAAAATAGCTGTGTGTTCAGCAATGATGTATACGCTTTCTGTGCAAGTTTAATATCTTTTCAATAATATTTGGCTGAGAAAAAAATAGCAGGCATTACTTGTATTTCAAGCCTTAGTCACTTTTTCCTTCTTATTCCTTCTAAGTCCTTCTTATTAAAAGGCATATGGTCCAGTGATGGTAATATCTAACCACAGCTAACCAACGATACTTGAAATCTGAGCATAGGATATTCAAAACCATTCAGTACTGACCTACTTCTGGTACCACTGAGGTCATTGATAACTTCCTGACTGACTTTAATAGAAGCACAATTAGACCAATGTTGAGCTGCCCACCATCAATCCCTAGAGTTAATAAAAGAAAATGCTCAGGAGGAAAATGTGCTGCTGATATCCAAGCAATAAATATTTTCTGGAAACGGCAACCTGGTCCTAGATATTCCATGGGTGAAAGGAGAGACTAAGGTTATTGAGTAAATGAATTTAGGCGCAATAAATTATTGCCTGAACTATAGAAAGGTAAACATGAAGGAAGGCACCAAGCTGGCCATCGTAAATAAAATAGGATCTCAGCCCTTACATAAGCAACAATGTCTATCTTGCACTGCTACATTCTTACTGATCTAGAGCAGCGGGGCCAACCTTTTTGGTGGCATGCCACAAATTAGCCGAACTGCCTTCCCGAGACCACTCTGATCCCTTGTCCCCACCCAATCCACCACTTGGATGTCTATTCCCTGCCCGATTTGCTGCTTTGCTTTCTACTCTTTGCCCTGTATTCCCTGCCAGTAGCATAACTAGTGAAGGGTAACTGAGCCAGACACCTTGGGCACCAACCTGGGGAGAAGGGGGTGAAAAAAGATGGCTAATGAATTTGTAGGAGGCCACAAGATCACCTCTCTGTATTTTTGACAGATTTTGATACACACAAACATATTAACAAAAAACATGGGCTAATGAAGGATGGTGGAAGACTACTGTTATTTTCCCATCAGAAATGTACCGAGATCCAATGGTAATATAACCTACTGCTTAGGAAGGACAAATTTGCTTGCCATGTGCCAAAAATGCTGTACAAAACACAAGGGAAGGCATCTTGCCCTGAAGACCTAGCTGTGCTTCATTTACAAATACAAATCTCAACTTTGCTTCTGTTTAATGGACTCTTACCTCTCTACAGAGTACATCACCTACAGAGTCTGGCTGCTTGACATGTGTTCAGTGCAGACCATTACAGAGGGTACAGATACAGAATATACTTTCATGGAGACCTTAATATTTGCTCTTCCTTGTGTTTTTGCTTTGTTATTCAAAAATTATCTCAGTTACTATGTGTTTGTCCTTAGTTTATGAAAAACACTACCATTTATTTCATGCAAAATAGAGATGAGAAGCCATGGAATCAAAGGACGAATTCACTAAGGAACAGTGGTGGGTTTTGGGAAGAGGGAAGAGGTTCTAAATACATATGCCAGCATTTAACTGGTTGGCTGGGTAGAGGAAAATATTTATAAGAAAGATTTGGAGGAAGAGAAGAAACTGTTGACATTCTAGGTGAGGAAGAGGAAATTCACATGTGAGGGGCCCAAATGGGTAAAAATATACAGCAGATAAGGATGCAGAAACAGCATTAAGAGACAAGGCAAGACATCTGAATTCTTGAGGCCATCATCATTAATGAGGCCAAGAATTCATTGACTGACGCTGAATAAATCACCTCTATAAAATGGGTAGTAGTTCAGCTGACTTACAGGTATCTTGCTAACAGTAACTGTTAGCAGAAGCATGTGGAACAGCTTGAAGATCCTCCCATAAATGCCAAAATACTAGTGCTTGAAGAATATGGAGTTGCTTAATTCTTTAAAAGGTTACAGATAATAGGAATTGAAACTTTCA